CACTTCCTGGTCTGCTGCCTTCATACATCTCCTCCTACATGTCTCTGTGTGAGTGCAGCTACAGCGTGCGCTCTCAGGACATCATTACCTGCAGTGTTCCCTCAGTGAGGACTGAACTAGACAAAAGGACCTTCTCCTACTCCGCTCCTGTTTCCTGGAACATCTTGTAAAAACATCTGAAGCTCTCGATCTTAACGTCTCTAAATGACTTCAAACATCTGATAAGCTGGTGAAAACCAATGCAGACATGTTTCTGTTTTTAGTTTTCTACATTTATCTTAGAATCTAGCCGTTTTTTTGTTACTAATTTGCATCTTATTTGAATTAAAAATATAAAAAAATCTGTATGAGTTTCTATAACTATTTTTGCTGTTGTCATCTTTCTTTGTTCAATCAGGTCTCTCTCGAGTCCTCGAGGCTCAGTGTGATTTACCTGTAGAAATAAAGGTTGAATGAAAAGCATACGTTTGTATACTGCTATATTTCTGTCTACATGTACTTTTTATTGAAGCCATTTGACTCACTTTTATTTTTTATTATTCAATATTTTACTAACAGAATAGTAAAATAGCAACCTGTTTTTTGTGTGAATTGCTATGTTAGTCAAATGTTCAATTTTGGAATAAAGGGGTAGAATTTAAAACTTTTTTCCTTCCGAGTCATCGATTAATGGGGGTGGGGGAGATAGTCTGTCAATTAATCAATTATTGGCATAATTGTTAGTTGCAGCCCTACACTGCAGGTAATAATGTCCTGAGAGCGCACGCTGTAGCTGCACTCACACAGACATGTAGGAGGAGATGTATGAAGGCAGCAGACCAGGAAGTGATTTAAAGATGAAAATGTACCACACACTCAGTGTTTTTATTGAATTGTGTGGTGTGTATTTACATATATATACATATATACATATATATACACACATATATACATATACATATATGCACACACATATACACATATACATATATGCACACACATATGCACATATATACATATATGCACACACATATGCACACATATATACATATATATACATATGCACACATATATACATATATATACATATGCACACATATATACATATACACACATATATACACATACACACATATATACACATACGCACATATATACACATACGCACATACATACGCACATACATACACATACGCACATACATACACATACGCACATACATACACATACGCACATACATACACATACGCACATACATACACATACGCACATACATACACATACGCACATACATACACATACGCACATACATACACATACGCACATACATACACATACGCACATACATACACATACGCACATACATACACATACGCACATACATACACA